GCCCGTGGGCTTGACCTGTGATCCTGCCCCTCCCCTGGGGGCCACCAGTGGTTGCAGCTCTCTCTCCGGACCATTGCATTTAACTGTCGTCCTGCAGAGAAATAATAAAGGGGGTTTAATATTGCAAGATTAAATAAATAGGTTAAGATTAAATAATAGGGTCTTGTGCAGGCGAAGTGATGCTGCACAATACTGGACGTTGTAATGCTGCACAACACCAGACGTCGTGATGCTGCACAACACCAGACGTCGTGATGCTGCACAACACCAGACGTCGTGATGCTGCACAACACCAGACGTCGTGATGCTGCACAACACCAGACGTCGTGATGCTGCACAACACCAGACGTCGTGATGCTGCACAACACCAGACGTCGTGATGCTGCACAACACCAGACGTCGTGATGCTGCACAACACCAGACGTCGTGATGCTGCACAACACCAGACGTCGTGATGCTGCACAACACCAGACGTCGTGATGCTGCACAACACCAGACGTCGTGATGCTGCACAACACCAGACGTCGTGATGCTGCACAACACCAGACGTCGTGATGCTGCACAACACCAGACGTCGTGATGCTGCACAACACCAGACGTCGTGATGCTGCACAACACCAGACGTCGTGATGCTGCACAACACCAGACGTCGTGATGCTGCACAACACCAGACGTCGTGATGCTGCACAATACCAGACACAAAACATTAGAGAATAACAGTATAATCATATCTGTGGAATCATGTTCTTAGGTCACGAAGATTCATCCCATCCTCTCTTCCCCCTCTCTCCACTTCAGCCGTGGCATCTTCGACGTCACCTCGAGGAAGGTTTAAGATGCAGCCTCCCAGTTGCCCCCAAGAGTGTGGGCGGGGCAGCAGTGAGAGGAGTTGCGAGCTAATCTCTTTATATTCTCACCGCTAGTCTTGTGGCTCTGCTCCCCCTGATGCTGCTTCCTTACCTTGCTCCTTCCCCTTGGCGTCGTCTCCTCCCCCTTGGCGTCGTCTCCTCCCCCTTGGCGTCGTCTCCTCCCTCTTGGCGTCGTCTCCTCCCCCTTGGCGTCGTCTCCTCCCCCTTGGCGTCGTCTCCTCCCCCTTGGCGTCGTCTCCTCCCCCTTGGCGTCGTCTCCCTCCCCTGGCGTCGTCTCCTTCCCCTTGGCGTCGTCTCCTCCCCTGGCGTCGTCTCCTTCCCCTTGGCGTCGTCTCCTCCCCTGGCGTCGTCTCCTTCCCCTTGGCGTCGTCTCCTCCCCCTTGGCGTCGTCTCCTCCCCCTTGGCGTCGTCTCCTCCCCCTTGGCGTCGTCTCCTCCCCTGGCGTCGTCTCCTCCCCCTTGGCGTCGTCTCCTCCCCTGGCGTCGTCTCCTTCCCCTTGGCGTCGTCTCCTCCCCTGGCGTCGTCTCCTCCCCTGGCGTCGTCTTCCCCCTTGGCGTTACCTCCTCTCAGCCTATTTAGGTCAGTTATAATGGAGGAAATCTATGACAAGTTATAACAAAACGAATTTGTTTTATTAATTTCTTGAAGTGTCAGTTCCTCGCCTCGGCTTAACTCTTATCTTTTTACTTCAAGTAATTATTTCAATTCCATTTTCGAAATCTATTTTGTTTCTAATTTCTTTGACCTTTGTCTTAGTTCCCCAATTTTTCTTGACAATTTTGTTTCGTAAATATTTGATGTAATTGGTTTAATTGGTTTGTATAATTTATTCCGTAACAACTCAGCCGTTCAAAGCTCGTCTGGTACTCTTAAGTTGATCATTAGTGGCCGGAGTGTGCTTGAGGGAGGCAGAGCTTTGCCTTCACGCTGGTCTGGGAGACCTCCTCGCCTGCTGCTGCGTCCAGCCACTTGGGCTGGACGGTAAGAGCGACGGTCTCCCTTCATACAGATCGGCGTTCAATCCCCGACCGTCCAAGTGGTTGGGCACCATTCCTTTCCTCCCCCCGTCCCATCCCAAATCCTTAACCTGACCCCCCTTTCCAAGTGCTATATAGGCGTATTGGCTTGGTGCATTCCCCTGATAATTCCCTCCCTCCCTCCTTGCCTACTGCAGCGTTGTCTGCACTAGACCACACTCTTATATTTTATACACATTATTAAACATATTATCTCTCTCTCTACTCTTTCTCTCTCTCTCTCTTTTAAACTAATGCTAGGGTTCTGCTACAGGATTTACATTAAAATTCCTCTCTCTCTCTCTCCCCTTTCTTTCTCTTTCTCCCTTTCTCTCGCTCTCCCCTCACCTTTCTTTCTCCCTCTCTCTTTCTTTCCCTCCCTTGCCGCTGGACGCTTCCTTGAACATGTAAGCGACTTTACCCTCCCTTTTGGCGAGCATTTCCTCCACACACCTAAAGTTTTTGTTGGTCCGCGAAGCGTTCTTCCCTCTGCTGGTCTCACTTCCTTGTGTGTGTGCGTCTGCGTTTGTCTGTCTCCTCGGCCACAACTCCCTGGGCCCTGATCTATCTGTTTCCTCGGCCACAACTTCCAGGGCCCTGATCTATCGGTCTCTCCTCTCCTACAACTCCGTGGGCCCTGATCTATCTGTCTCTCCTCTCCTACAACTCCGTGGGCCCTGATCTATCGGTCTCTCCTCTCCTACAACTCCGTGGGCCCTGATCTATCGGTCTCTCCTCTCCTACAACTCCGTGGGCCCTGATCTATCTGTCTCTCCTCTCCTACAACTCCGTGGGCCCTGATCTATCGGTCTCTCCTCTCCTACAACTCCGTGGGCCCTGATCTATCGGTCTCTCCTCTCCTACAACTCCGTGGGCCCTGATCTATCTGTCTCTCCTCTCCTACAACTCCGTGGGCCCTGATCTATCTGTCTCTCCTCTCCTACAACTCCGTGGGCCCTGATCTATCTGTCTCTCCTCTCCTACAACTCCGTGGGCCCTGATCTATCTGTCTCCTCGGCCACAACTCTCTCGGTGTTCCTGCTGATCTTCTGTCTACGTTTGTAATGGCAGCTCCCATGGCGTCGTCTCCTTAGTAGATTGCTGGGGAGGTATTATAGCAGGCAACCTCTTCTATATTTGATATATTTCCTCTTCCATCCCCAGGCCTCACCCTCTCGCATGCTTGAGACACTTCCTATTGAGGTGCCCCGAGCGCCTCGCAGTGAGTCAGTCCTCTTCACAACGACTTCACTCAATTCAAGGGAATTCTGAGCGAGGAAGTTCAAAACTTGAGTTGAGTTAACTTACAGATCTCTCTCTCTCTGCCTTTCCCCATGTCTTCCAACTTTCTAAATCACTCTCACACTCACTCTCACACACATTCTCTCACACACACTCACTCACTCTCACTCTCACTCTCTCACTCTCTCTCTCTCTCTCTCTCTCTCTCTCTCTCTCTCTCTCTCTCTCTCTCTCTCTCTCTCTCTCTCTCTCTCTCTCTCTCTCTCTCTCTCTCTCTCTCTCTCTCTCTCTCTCTCTGACCTTCGTCTTCTCCATCCTCCGCTGTTCAAGTTAAGTGCATAAACTTAAGACAGTCTCCCCTACTTGCGGCAAACTCCCTATCTCGTAACTTCGCCTTCCCAGACAGGGCGGAGGGTGCACGAATCAGGTTCCAGGAAATTAATGCGTCTTAAACCTCAGGAATACGATGGTCCTGAAGAGTAATGAAACTCGGGGAATCAATCTTATTCCAGTATAAGGCGGCGCACTCGTCTCCAGACGCACCGTCGACTCTGCTGAGTACAAGCAGTGTTGGCGGAGCGCTCAGGTCTGCTGGCATCTCTCCCTTCAGGAGCCCTCGTGTGACGTAGGTCGTTATACCTGGTGGAGGAGGATGGCGGATCTCTCGCTCGAGCTGCTGCTGTTGTCTGTCTCATGCTGGCCGTAGTGACGGTGATAAGTTATAGTTGTCTGCCGCCTTGAGCTGTGGCGGTGGTCGAGGCGCTCACAACAGGAGCCTCCTACATGTCACATTCCTTTCTGGCTCGTCGCGCAGGTGAGATCATTAAGGTGTGACCACCATCTTGGGGCCCCTGTAACTGCCCAGGTTCTTACCTGGGCAGCCCCCCATTCCCCCGCGTGGCCGTGAATGTCCAGGCCCCCCTCCTCTTCGGCCCTTCCTTCCGTCACCCCACCCCCCCCCCTGCCTCTTCCACCTCTCCCTCCCTCAAAAAAAAAAAAATGCTCACGGCAGATTGAAAGGAGGTGGGGCTATCAGGGGTGCTGGTGGGAGTAGGGGCAATCAGGTGGGGGAGGGGGGGGGACAGCGGCAGATCCGACGGACGAAGACCGAGTCACGCCTCTCGTGCGCCGCAATTCATGGCAGGAAGGCAGTCTCGTGTCATTAGTAGATTGCTGGCCATAAAATGGGGACGTATGACCTGAAGCAACGTGTAGGGCGAGGCGTGTCGTTGCTCTTGGCGGGAAGGTCTCGTCCCGCCACACACACACACCTGATAACTGCCTCGGGGCGACGGAGGGGCGTGGGGCGTCGCCGGCCGGCCTGCACGTGGCTGCTAGCATAACTGCGGCCGGAGACGAGGGCGGGACTCCAGCAACAGCTCAGCTTTAGTGTATGGATCTTGCTCGACGTGGCCAGATGTCCGCCAGGTCCGGCCACCACCCGGCCCGCCCTACACTCTCTCCACCACTCAACAATAAACAAATAAAACGTAGATTTTTGTGTTGCTGTTGTGTATTTTATTTTTGCTTTGAGGAGGACACATATTTCGTAATAATACTGTTAATTTTGTGTTTGTCAGTGTAGGTGGCGGTGGTTCGGGCAGGTGTGACGTTCGCAGCCACAGCTGTGGTGGCCGCGGGCGGTTACTGTACAATACACAGGTGTCGGCACTGGGGCTGTACTCGCACCGATATAATTCCTCACATGACACAATAACAAAACAAATTAACATGCATTAGTTGGAATATTTGATGAATGAGCATTTTAAATATGCATGAAGGTCACAGAGGCGCGATGACTGGTGGCCTGTTGTTAGGTAGTGTTTGTATCATGTTACTGTTCCTGTAGTGACGGACTGTGTGGTACCGGCAGGTGTGGTTCAAGAACCGTCGCGCCAAGTGTCGGCAGCAGCAGAAGCAGCAGGCGGCGGGGGCGGAGAAGACCCCCAGAACAAAGAAGGTCGCTAAGTCTCCGCCGCCCTCCTCGCAGACCTCCCAGCAGTCGGGCCAGACCACAACCGGTGGTGTAGCCGCCACCCCGCCGCCACCAGGAGGCGGCCACAGAGATGCCTCGCCGCCCTCACCGCCGCCCTCTGTCAGCTCTGCCCCGCCCTTGCCTCTCACCCCGTCTTCCACCGCCCATACCTCCTACAACCCCATCTGGTCGCCAGCCGCCATCCCGCCAGCGGGGTCGGCGTCCATCCCGCCCATGGGGGACCTGATGACGCCGCCGTGCCTAGATCGTGGCGGCTACGGCGGGGTGAGTCAACAGGCGGCGGCGGCGGCGGCCTGCTACCAGAGCTACGCCGCCCCCTCCTACTACTCCAACATGGACTACCTCACACCCATGTCCCACTCCCAGATCAACGTCCCGGTAGGTCCCAGCACACCTGTACAACAAACATGACTTACAGTACACATACACAAGTTTCTTTATCAAATACATGGGCTAAACGTGTGTTTTCTTTCCACAGGTGAGCTCGATGGCTTCTCTCAACCCCATGGGAGGCGGCGGAGGCCAGCAGATGGGGTCCCACTCGGGATCCGGGCTGGGGTCATCGCTGGTGTCTTCTTCCTTGGGCACATCGTCGCTGGGGTCGGCGGGGTCCCTGGGGTCTAGTCAGTCCCTCAGCCCCAGGACACCGCCCACGGTCAACTCCCTGACGCCGCTGCCGCCGGACTGCCTCGAGTACTCCGACAAGAACGCCGCCGCCTGGAAGTCCTACCAGAGCTTCCAGGTATTGTGAGCTGGCACGCCCGGACGCTTCACCACGGCCCCTGCGTACCCACCAATATCTTGAAGTGAAGGACTCGAACACACAATTCATATTTGCCGCGGACTCGTACGAGAAATATGAATTATGATAATGCAAATAAGGGTGATTATCGGAGATTCGAAGAACCTAGTTTCTCCCTAAATACAGTGTAAAGAAACGCTGGTAATGTCAGCGACAACACCTTATGCACTCACGCACTCAGTCCCTCTCTCCCACCGGCACACCTCCACGCATATACTCAGTTACTTTTTTATTAATAATTTGCCCATTTGTACAGAAAGGAGATCTGAAGGCCAAAATAACTTGATGTGATGTTTAGTATCACAGGGGTGACATATATTGCTGGATGCTGTCCGCCTGGATTTAGTGCCCCCGGTGCCTGGACTTGGTGCCCCGGTGCCTGGACTTGGTGCCCCGGTGCCTGGACTTGGTGCCCCGGTGCCTGGACTTGGTGCCACGGAGCCGGTCGAGTGGGGTGGTTGGATAGACTCACCTGCACAGCTGAGCACTGAGAAGCTCTGAGCAACGATCTCCTTGACTCACCTGCAGAGCTGAGCGTGACACTCCTACTATTGTTGCAAATTGCTCGTCATCATTGTATAACTTTTGTTCACGCCATTTACTTAATTGATCTATAAACGTAAAATACAATTATCAGGCTTCACTGAAAAATAAAATAAAAAAAAGTGTTTTATCGTCGTTTTGAAATGACTTATTCATTTTGACAATGAATTGCGGCTCGTTTTAATATCAACATAAACGAGAATTTTATTAAAGCTCCGAGAGATACAGGTTTATTTGACCAGGAAACAAGAACAAGAGTGGAAGTCTTGATACTCTATTTTTTGTTTTGTATCTCGTTGTATTTTACGTGTTGTGGCAACAATGTGAGAAGCAGGTAGAGCATGAGGTGTGGGAGAGAGCAGGTGGCACTCCTGCAGGCACTCCAACGGGCCATGACCGCCGCTGCACGCTACAGTGCCCGGAGAGTGGGCTGTGCGCGGTTGGCCTTCACGCCTGCGGTCGGGCGAAAGCCCCCCCGGAGCATTGTTGAGGATGATGCAGGGGAGGTCAGCAGGGCGTGGCTCTCAATGGTGTCGATCCTACTATTCCGTTCAAGGCCCCACTCACAGGGTCCTCCGGCGCGGCACTGAGGGCAGCCATTCAGGCCCCACCACCCCCCACCACCACCACAGGGTCCTCCGGCACGGCACTGAGAGCAGCGGAAGGATCAGGCGTCCCACCACCTGCTGCCCTGAGCGTCTACCTACCTCGTGTAGCTTCCAGGGATCAACAGCCCCGCGGCCCGGTCTCCTACCAGGCCTACCCTTATATCCTCGCTGTCCTCTGGCAGGACAGCATGCAGGACGCTCCGGCTAAGCACTGAGGACTGCTGACCGGATGAAACGCACCAGATCCCGTACCGGACAGTTTATACTTGTGTTGTTAAACTGACCTCAACATTGACTCATCTGTTTTATAATCACACTACAAGCTTTTAACAGCAAACAAATCGTTTGTAGCAACAAATTGTTTTTTTTTATATTTTTTTATATTTTTTATTTCTTCAAAATAATTATTTTATTCCCGAGTCGTGGAGAAAGCACTACCAACATGCACATTCCCCCCAGGCCAAACACAGCTACTTCTGATGTTACAGGTCTGCCCCCTGGCGGCGTGACCTGTCAGACATAACCTTCGGTTGCCAATATAATCCTGGTGGCGTTAATCTAATTAAGCGTCGTCCTATGAAGGCGTCGACTCACGAAGGCGTCGATCTAAATTAGGTTTCCCAATACCGGCAGTAATATTTCCGGCAATACACGTATATGTCCAAATGCCATTTAATTACAAACAATTCTGGCGTTGGGAAAAAACTAATCACTGGCAGAACCAGGTCGTTCACAACAAGAAATGGTTAGAGGAAAACACACAACTGGGGCCTTACGTGTTAATCAATTTCAGGGTAAGTGGAAATATCTCAAGAATGTCTTGGCAGGGTTTATAGCAGTTACCTGAAGTGGCCCAAAATTGCTAGGAGTTCTGTAATTGACATTGTTGATGCAGCCCTCAGTTGTCCCTGGCAGGTCAGCTGCACAAGTCAGGGGCGGCTGGAGGAAGCTGTGTGGAAGGCATATCAGCTATTAGTATGTAGGTCTTCCTTTGTTCACGTTTGTACTCTACCTTGTAAAGACTGTACTCATGACAGTAAACTTAGAACCACAGCCAAATTATATATATATATATATATATATATATATATATATATATATATATATATATATATATATATATATATATATATATATATATATATATATATATATATAATGTCGTACCTAGTGGCCAGAACGCACTTCTCAGCCTACTATGCAAGGCCCACTTTGCCTAATAAGCCAAGTTTTCATGAATTAATGTTTTTTCGACGACCTAACCTACCTTTTTCGGTTACCTAACCCAACCTAACCTATAAAGATAGGTTAGGTTAGGTAGGGTAGGTTAGGTTCGGTCATATATCTACGTTAATTTTAACTACAATAATATAAAATTGACCTCATTCATAATGAAATGGGTAGCTTTATCATTTCATAAGAAAAAAAATAGAGAAAATATATTAATTCAGGAAAACTTGGCTTATTAGGCAAATCGGGCCTTGCATAGTAGGCCGAGAAGTGCGTTCTGGCTACTACGTACAACATTATATTATATTAATATATATATATATATATATATATATATATATATATATATATATATATATATATATATATATATATATATATATATATATATATATATAAATATATATAAATATATATAAATAATATTCCACAATTTACCGTATGCGTGAATAATGTTTCTATTTATATTACCGACTACAAGTAACCAATGGGAGAGCCAGCAGCCGAGGCGGCGGGCTAGGGGGCCCAACGTCCCCTGCTACAACCGCTGGACTAGCAGCCAAGGATGTCCAGCCTCAGAGTACGCTTCCGCAGGGTCTCTAGCTGCAAGACTTGTAGCTAAGGGCCCCCAACCGCAGGGTGCACAGCCGCAGGGCTCGCAGCCGCTGGGCCCCCAGCCTCAGGGCCTCCAGCAGCAGGGGTTCCCACCCCCCTCCCCAACCGCAGGGGCCCCTAGTTGTGGAGTCCCCACTCGCTCAACTCTCTGACGCACTACTTTGTATACACTTGGAATTACGTATTTTTGACTTCCTAAGCCGCCGTGCGACACACTTTAATTAATCCTAATTTTAGAGAGGGTGGTTTAGCCAATAGGTGTAGAATAAATACCAGTCATCCATTACAGTAATGGCTACGGTAGATTAGCACGTCGTAGAGTTTACCATGTCTGAGCCGCTGGTCGGAAGCTTGGAGACCCGAGGGGCCCCGCCCGCCCGCAGCCGGGGAACTCCAACACCGAGCGGGGCTCTTTTGGTCATACCCTTCCTCAGTAGTGCTTGTGATCACGGGTGTGCCTCCGGGATATTTGTTCTCGATCATGTGGACACCTAAACCCGCCGCTAGAACCTGTCCGGAGACTGGCGGCAGCCTGGAGGGGTCATCTGGGAAGCGCTCGCCCGCCTACCTTCCCGTACACTTCCCCCTTCCATCCTCCTTCCTATAAATGAGAGCTGCTCGTGTTATACCACGGAGGTCTAAACCCAAGTGAATTGCAGACTTCACTGTGTTCAGTTCTTGGATTCGAACGGAGTTAATGTCAAGTTGATTTCGGCGTGGCTCAGGAGCCAGTGTGAGGCACTCCACCGTGAGACGACCACTTGTACACACTTCAAGTGTAAGACAAGAGAAGCAACGCAATATACAGCTACGAAGAGTGTCAACATACCCATGTTATCAAACATGGCGACTACTTCGTGGCTTTTACACTTGACCTGTCTCGAAAAATGCGATGAACCGAAGTGATGAGAGCAGCGATGAAGGAGGAAGAGGCGAAGGAAGGGAGAGAGGAAGGGACGGAGGAAGGGACGGAGGGGAGGTCAATACGACAGCCACTTGCTCTCGCGAGCTTATATCCAGGTGGCCACTCTCTAGTAATGGACTTTGGTGTCACACTGTATAACGTCGAATGTTTTATTTGTATCACATGTAGATATCATTATTATTATTACATCTCTTGGGGCTGTATGAAGTGTAGGGGAGGAGGGGGGGGGGAGGGGGGGAGCGTGACCAATGAGCTCAATAGTAATTAAATCTCACATTTTTTCAGACTTAATATTTCCTTTTATGAGATTGGATGGTGTCCAACGTGTGTGTGTGTGTGTGTTGTTTGTTATACAGTTCTTAGACTACTACATAATTGCCATAAAAGTCAACTTAGTAATATCATTGCTGCCTTTACCGACCGTTTATTGGTGTCGGTGGCGAAGCGGCACCTCTGTGTCGCCAATATTATTATTATTATTATTATTATTATTATTATTAGTAACAATACCAGGGTCATTAGTATTATTATTCTTTAGCTGTGCAATATTATCTTGCTTTCCCACAAGCGAGTTATGGGGTGGTTTTGTTCACATTGTTCATCTGTATAACAGTGTCTCCACCTGTTGTATCCCCAGGTGTTCATCATTCACCTGTTATGTTCGGGGTACCTCTCACAGTAGCTGCCATAACACACATTTTGGTCTAGGTTAACACTAAGAGTTTGAGGGGCCGCGCTTCTCGTCACCGACAATATTGCGCTTGGCGTTATTGTCATGCTATAGCGAGAGCCTCTCTGGTGGCGCCTCTGTCCAGTCTTGCCCGCCGGCTGAGGCAGTGCCGTCACGGAGACCAGAGGGAGCCGCGCGGGGCTCGCGCCAGAACTTTTTATTCTTTTTTTTTAAATCGACACAAGTGAGACACACAATCACACACTGTCACACACAAGACGGATATTCATACCACCACAGCCACACGTATGCATTCACGCGCGAGCACGCACACACACACACACACACACACACACACACACACACACACACACACACACACACACACACACACACACACACACACACACAGAATATTAGTGGGCCACGCGGCTGAGTGAACAGCACTTGGGGGTCGTAGTCCTAATACCCAGGGTTCGATTCCCGGCCGAGGCGGAAACAAATGGGCAGTTTTTTTCACCCTGATGCACCTGTTTACCCAGCAGTAAATAGGTACCTTGGAGTTAGACAGCTGCTACGGGCTGCTTCGTGGGGATGTGCGCGCGTGCGTGTTAGAGAGAAATATATATGTAGTAGATATAAGAGAAGAAAGATTGGTTAAAAAGGCGGAGTCCAAGAGCTAATAGCTCAAATCTGTGCTCACACACACACACACACACACACCACACATACACACACACACACACACACTGTAAATACACACACACACACACACACTGTAAATACACACACACACACACACACACACACTGTAAATACACACACACACACACACACACACACACACACACACACACACACACACACACACACACACACAGTAAATACACACACACACACATAGTAAATACACACACACACACACACAGTAAACAAACACACACACACACACACACACACACACACACACACAGTAAACAAACACACACACACAGTAAACACACACACACACAGTAAACACACACACACACACACACACAGTAAACAAACACACACACACAGTAAACACACACACACAGTAAACAAACACACACACACAGTAAACACACACACACACACAGTAAACACACACACACACAGTAAACAAACACACACACACAGTAAACACACACACACACACACACACAGTAAATACACACACACACACACACCACCTCTCGTCATTCCACTTTTCTTACATATAAATATATAAAATTAATAAGTCAATTTTAATGTTTCTACATGGCGTTTTCTCCAAGTTCATTTGCCTTCATGTTGTGTAAATACTCAATGTACATTTTGTAAATTCCACAACTCCTTGTTACGACGCACTCTCCTCATATCAATAAATTGGTGTTGACGGCTGTGTGAATTTTTATGATCCTTGTTGGGGCTGCATATGTATTGTTCTTATATGGGCATATGTATGACACTTATATGGGATTGAGTATGGTACCTTTATGGGTATGGGTTTGGTACTTATGTACTTACGTACCTCTATGGTACTTACGTACCTTTTACCTTACACAGACAGTCATCCGTATTTTATAGATATAGAAGATAGACAATGATTAAATCAAGTAATAAAAACTTGACCAGCGGACGAAGACAAAGATGGGGTACATACAGCCCGTCGCCTGCAAAGAATCCCAGCCCTGGCGAAATCGTCATTTTTCACAAAACTCAAAATCAAAACCAGCCATAGAATCGTTTTGAAAATGGTACCATTGTGTTTACCACAGCAATTTACCTTTCTTTCTGTAAAGGCTTTCTTTGCTAATTTTAAATATTAACGCCTATACAGCCATATTTACTGAGATACAGCCACCTCAAATATCAAACCTATCATCGAGTTTTCTCAACAAATTACTAAGGAAAATGAGTTTTAAAAAATGTAATAATAATCAAAATGAGCTAAATAATAAATGGATAATCAAAATAACATTATATAAATATTCCTCATGTATTTAGAGACTACTATGCATGGTGCGTATATGGGCATATGTATGCTACTTATAAAGGCATTTGTATGGTACCTATATTGGCATATGAATGGTACTTATATGGGCATTTATGGTACTTATAAGGGCATATGTATGGTAGTTATAAGGGTATATGTATGATACTTATAAGAACATATGTATTGTTCTTATAAGGGCATAAGTATTTTTACCTTTTTGGGCATATGTATGTTACTTATAAGAGCTTTTGTATGGTACCTCAATGGGCATATATATTGTTCTTATATGGGCATATGTATGACACTTATATGGGATTGAGTATGGTACCTTTATGGGTATGTGTTTGGTACTTATGTACTTACGTACCTCTATGGTACTTACGTACCTTTTACCTTACACAGACAGTCATCCGTATTTTATAGATATAGAAGATAGACAATGAATAAATCAAGTAATAAAAACTTGACCAGCGGACGAAGACAAAGATGGGGTACATACAGCCCGTCGCCTGCAAAGAATCCCAGCCCTGGCGAAATCGTCATTTTTCACAAAACTCAAAATCAAAACCAGCCATAGAATCGTTTTGAAAATGGTACCATTGTGTTTACCACAGCAATTTACCTTTCTTTCTGTAAAGGCTTTCTTT